CCCCTTAGTCTATGAAGATTTTAACAATTTTTTTCTTCATGGTATATAGGAGAATTGATATTTTTAGTAACTCAATTTTTTGTGTATATTCACTATTTACTTATATCTCAATTTTACTAAAGTTTTATTCTCATTTTTTTTTGTGAGAGGCAAAAATAAAAGCATATATTATTAAAATTTAATAAATTAGTGCCTTTAAATGTAAATATTTAAATCTTTTAATAACTTATTATGTTTTTATTTTGTCAGTCACTTATACACTTTTTTTTATTTTTATTTTATCTTTTCATTATAACACGAGATAGTTTATAAAATAGATAGTTCTAATTTATGAACTTATTGAAGATCTTATTCAAATAGTATGTGATGGGTTCATTCAACCTTCCTTGTGTATTAAAAAAAAGGAATTTACATATTTAAATATTTAACACCCAAAATTTCATATATTTATAACATCTTTGTGTCATAAATTTATGCATAAATATGTTTATTTAGATTTTAAAAAGATAAGTAAGATGCTGTTTTTATGTGATAAATTGGTATGAATACAATTATAAATATTTATGTATTAGATATATAAATAAATTTTAAAAAAATTGTGGTGCCAAATATGTATTGGGACAATGCGCGCTAGAAGACTCCACATTTACCCTTTCCGTCCCAAGCGTCTCCTCCCGTTCGTGGCAGTATGCTGCTGCGGTGGTGCAGCCAGACGAGCCTATTATCCCGTCCCCGACCCTTTCTACCCGCTGCCGTTTCGGTCCTCTGCAGCCGTATCCTTCTTTACAACAAGCTAAACCCTAGCAAGCCAATGGCCGCCGGCCGCCGTGCTGCGTCATTTGCGGCCCCTCGACCAGAACTAGTTAGGGAAGCTCTTTTCTTGCCTCCTGGGGTGGCTAAAGAGGACGTAACGGTGGAAATGGTTCTTCCGGGGTCGAATATCGTGGTCGGCCCCTACGCCGGTGATGCACGGATCAAGCAAGCGGAGTTCGTGAAGAGCAGTTCGCGGGCTAAAGATTGCCCCAAAGATGACCGTCCTGAGTTTGCTGTCATCGGGAGGTCCAACGTCGGAAAGTCTTCACTCATCAATGCCCTCGTACGGCAGAAGGATATCGCCCTAACTTCCAAGAAACCAGGTCACTATTCCTCTGTTACTCACTCGGTATCTTGATAAGATTATCCTCTGTTGCATCTTTCTAATTCCTTGATTCATTGGTTCGCACCTACTTTTTGCTGTCGGTCTGCAGGGAAAACTCAGCTTATCAATCACTTTTTGATCAACAGAAGTTGGTATATTGTCGATCTGCCCGGATATGGGTATGTCTTTTGGATATGCTGATCAATAACTTGTTGATAGTTCCAATGCTTCAAGCCTTAATTATACGATAAACCATCGTGTTTTTGGGATTTTTCATGTACATCTGTTCAGTCGGTTTATGAGATTATCTCGTCTCCTTGGTTATTGTGTCAACAGCAAATGACGCAGCCTACCGCATAGCAAATGGTGCGGCGTGCGTCATTTTAATCTGAACGCAAAAATATTACAATATATGAACAAAAGTATAAATAAGTATGAAAACGTTGAACCTAGATTTGATCTTGAATCACACACGAGAATAGAGTCTGGGAAAGTGGGAGAACAAAGGGGAGGGGGCTTGAGTAAGATGTGGAAGAGTAGAGAGGGTTTTTTCGTTGTTCTAGAGAGTAAAAGTCGTAATCTAGTTTATATTTAATACCCCCTATTTATAGGGGGTTGTCCCCATAAAAATGA